GACTGTTTAATAAAATATTGAGGATGTGCTACTTTAAGACATCAGAAAAAAAAAAGTATAAATTGGTGATAACGTTATTTCTATTTTTAAATACATCCCACAGAGGCACTCAAGATAGATGAGAAGTGCTAAGCCCATCCCACAAGCTTATTTATTTATTTAATACTTCTTATGTGCTATTTTTAACTGCAGAAGACAGCAAAAGGCATCCATTAGAAAAATTACATTGGTTAAGAGTCTTCCTCACACAGGTTAGGCAAGTGAGATATCTGGCTGAATGCAGTGTTAAGAAGAGATGTGTTTTTTCCTCCCTTTCCTACAGGTTTCTGAAATAAAAGCACAATTGTATTTCTGCAGCATCAGCTAGGCCAGAATCTGTATCTGCAAACCTCTGTCAGTCCTCACTCTCCCCAGCCCCCCTCTTCCCACCCCCTCACTTCCCGCAAGGTTTAATTTTGTAAGCAATACACGGTTTGAACGCATACACAACATGCTTACCACAAAGGGACAGTTAAAACGTAGATGTATGGGTTTGGTTTGTTTTTTTTTAAGCCTCAGTTGTGCACATAGAAAATAAATGAGAGGAAATGCCATAGTCTCATAGTATTGCATCATTTTGCAGAAGATGTATCCCTTTGGGAGAGGAAAAAATTAGTTAAACATTTTCCACTTTTTCAGTAGAGTTAAAGGAATTTATCTTAGTTGATGTTGGTTTTTCTTCGGAATCAATATTCTTTGGTGAGCTAAGAAATCAAAGGAAGAATGTCCCATCCTTGGCTGTCCTATCACAAATATAAGTTTTCACGCACAAAAATGCCAGAGCTCCATTGTCAAATTATTTACTTCGGGGAAAAAAAAAAAATCGTGACTCGATTTCTACATGTCATCTTCCTAAATGGTTGCTTTCTTTGGGGAAATACAGAGTGTTTGCATGCACAGCCTCAGCAGCTAATTTTCCCTTTTCCTCTCATTTGAAGAAACAAAGCCTGAACTCCAAGGCGGCACTCGGCACTCCCGAGCCCATTTACCAGGGTTTCTGGGGGACCAGAAGATAAAATCGCGCGTAGGCATTTAGGTGTTATTTCAGGAGGCTCTGTCAGCATTTTGATTCTCATCCTAATTTTGCTACAGAATGCACAACCTGAACTGGATGTGTATTTGCTAGCTGGCCAGGTAAACAGCTACAAAAAATAAAAAGGGTATATAAGATGAATTTCAGAGGGGACGTGGGTCCCCTGCCATGCTCCAGGTCCTCTCGCGGAGCCCAGGGCAGGGTGGGAGGACAGACCACCCCGCGCAGGGCACGACGCTGCTCAGCAGTTCCATGGGTAAATCCAGGTGGTTGTTCAAGTCAGGTAAGCACAGGTCTGGGTAGTTAGAGCATATGCAGCAGCTGGATTTCTTGAACAGTTATCTTCTCTTCTTTTTAAGTTTTCCACAAAGCGAGTTTTTGTAAACAAAACCACGGAGGTTTTTGGTGTCACTCAGAACAAGGACAGTTTGTTTGTTCTACCTGCCTGGAGATAAGCTCAGTTTGCTGATAACAGGCATTACTGAGCCCATAAACGGAAGGCTTTTATTCATAATCTATTCATACATGGAATTAACAATGCTTGATGACTAAGAAATACTTGAATTTCTAAAAGAAGGAGCTTTCTCTGTAGTGGAAAGGTCACATTGCACAGAGAACTATGCAAGCAGCTGATGCACCAGACAAGTGTCACCAGCAGGAAGTTGGATAAAAAGCAAGTAATGCAATTTTATGTGTACAAAAATCACTACTAAACTTGAGATCCTGGATAAATATTCAAACTATTCTCTGTGTTTGGAATCCAGCCTCAGGCCAGGCCTGGCTTGAGCAACAGAGCGTCTGACACAAGTTTGATTCCTGACTTGTATCTGAAATATTCTGAATATTCTGCACGTGGGCTTTAGAAAGCAGACTACAGTCTGCCAGTAGTAGGCAGGACCCCAAGCAAATTGTCTGCTGAAAAGCCAAATTTAAGAGTTCACATACTTCTTCCCCCTTAAGTATTGCACTCAATGACATTAAAAGGGCTATTTTCCAGGGCACGCCATCCATCCTACATTCCTCAGACTGCCCAAAGAGAAGAAATGTGAGCTAACTGCCCAGTTTCAGATTTTTGCTTGCAACCAGAAACTGCTGGGATTTAAAGCCTTAAACTCTGAATAAGATTAATAAGCAGTTATTTAAGAAACTAAGAAATGCTGTTTTCAAAATCTGGGAGTGTTGAAACTATACATCACCCATCCTCTCTTTTTGTAAGCGAGGAGCATGGACACACGAGCCACTCCATCTCAGAACCAGAGACACATTCTTCCAGGCAGACTTAAACTTTCCCACTTGAATAAAATCCTCCTCTGCAATTACAAGTTGTTATGCCACTCTGATGAGAGGAAGCAGAGACCTAACGCGTCAAACGGCTTCTTTGCATCCCTTGATGCTGTAAATTTAACATTTCCCCTGGAAGTGCTGTTCATATGTACACTTGTGCAACATTTAAACTGAATACATAATCTAATGCTGTCAAAATAGCTTATTACTGGGGTCTCATCAATTCCATAACCACATTATACAAATAATATCACTCTTGCTGCAAAAGTATGCTCATGACTCAAATTTTCATTTACTAAAAGAATTATGTTTCTATCAGTCTTCTGTGTATGGTTACAAGCAGACTCAGACCCTCACTGCAGAGAGAAGCATTCACACACCAAGAGATGATTCTTTACCCTAAACTAAAGTCCGACCTGGAGAGCAACTCACATAAGCCGTAAGAGACCATAGTGGAAAGTAATCTATATTTTGTTAAACCTGTCCTATATATAACATTGAGTTTTCCTGACCTCTACTATTTTTATTTTAGCAACTAAGCAAAACAATGCAGCGACCACCTTAGGTCTGCAAATACTCAGTCTATGAGATATAAATTATTTCAATTTATCTGAAAGGTGACTTAAAATTATCAGTAACTTCAGTATCAATTTTGCCAGACCCTTCTCACCTATACAGTTCTCTCCGGCTCATAAACTGCCCAAATACCCAGCTTCTTCTGGGATATTTTCAGCAATCTAGATGTTTTGGAAGGACAAAAATCCAGCAACACTATCGATTTAGGAGAATAATCTGATGCTTTCTGGACACAGAGTAAATATGCTATTTAAAGTACATTATTGATATACAAAATTAAGAAGCTTGGGAGGTAATTTTGGATTTCCAGATTCTGACCAGTTTTATAAACTAGTGCAAGGTAAGAAACATGGTATGGCAAGCACAGGAAGAAAGAGGTTTTCTGATACCAGTTCCACGCTAGACGACCTGACTCCTTCCTCTATCCTTTGAAAACCACACTAGCTTATAGCAGGGAAATTATTTTTCTCTCTCCAATAAGCTGGGCCTAGAATATATATGGACCTCCAGCAGGTCTGTCAAAGAGGAGACCTGAGATCTCCTTGGCATTGGTAGGTTCTCGAAATAATTGACCGAATTCTCTTTGAAACTACAGCTACTACAGAAACAATTTCCATGGGCGTAACTGCCCTTGACAAAAACTCATTCATTATCAGTCAAACAAGCAAAACACAAACCTCCTTGAAAACAAACAATGATCTGGAGGACCACAAAAGATTGCCCATGAATTATGGAAAAGCCAGGTTGTGTTGCAGCACTGGAAGTTTCCACCTCTCAGCAACTTTCAGAGAGATCCTGCCTGCTGACCAGGAGAGGGGAAAAGAACATGCCAAGCCCCAACAACTAGTAATGTTTCACACTTTAGTATGGGAACAGACAGACAGATCCCCAAATCCATCCCTTCCAAATTAAATATATGATCGGCTGTGACTTCTTCAGGAAATTGAGGTCCTTAACAGCACCAATAAAAGAAAAAGAAAAAAAGATAATGAGTAGTCAATCTCATGAAGACTAGTTACCCCAGAAAGCAAGGTACGCAATCTTCCACCTCATCCTTTTTCTGTTCCCAGGAGACCCTAATCAGCACATATATAATATAATGTCTTTTATATAGCATTCAGCTCCACGTGTCTGGAACAAGTTCATTATTGGGTGCGAGCCTCTTCATGCCCCTTCTGGAAGAGAGGACACCAAGCAGAGCCCAACCAGAACACACGCCTGCTTCAGTCCCGTGTCTTTTGTTATGGGGTGGTGGTGGGGGGGGTTTGGTGTGGGTTGTTTTGGTTGTGGTTTTGTTCTTTTTTTTTTTTTTTAATTTCATCCTGATTCTTTTAAGTTACTGAAGCTACAAATCCATTCAATTTTTTTTATTTTTTTTTTTTTAAATGCAGAACTTGAACTGTTATTTCTATTGGGAATAAAGGGGAGTGATTCATTTCAGAGGATGGAGTGAGGGACAACAGAGCTTGAAAAAAATCAGAATTCAGAACAACAGAGCGAAAGGGAAAGCACCTGAAATAAGTGCTTACAGTTTATCTTGTACAAGATCTTAAAGCAGATTGCCAGCACCAAGTTTTTGAGAAAGTTTTTCATACTCCTCAGAAGAGAAATTTAAAAAAGTAAACCCAAAACAGTTCAAGTGCCAAAGAAACACGTAAGATTAGGGAAAAGAATCTACTCCCTTTACAAAGGGAGGCTGGCAAAAAAAATTAAGAAAACTGTACCTTCAAGCACGCAGGTGTTTTAAGAGTTTACAGAAAGTTACAAGTGTTGCCCGCAGAGATCAGACTCTTAAATTGTGTATTACACCATGTACCTGATCATACACTCAAATTTAGGTAACAACAGAAAGGCAGCTTTTCTTGATCCCTCTACAGACTAATGTGATTTTGCTTTTCAAAGCAAAATGGTGGTGTTTCAACACCAAATAGGAAGACATCGTGCATACTGAAATACAAGTATTTAAAACTATTGCATATATGTCTCAATTGATTTTCAGATTAAAACGAAAAGCATTTGCCTTAACCTACTGTTACACTTACACCACATCCTAATTAGATGAACCTACCATGTGGTAGTGTTATGTTTGCACCATCAATGATTGCTTGTGCCAGTTCGTGATCATTGCTCTCGAAAGCATGTGCAGCAGCCTTGAGGGCATCCCAAATCTCCTTGCGACCTTCAAAAGCTGGTGCTGTGTCCCAAAACTCGTCTCTCTTGCTGCGCAACTGTCCGTCTGTCATGGGGTAATCACTTTTCCATTTCGGTTTCTCTTTTTTCAAGGGCTGATTACGACCGAGAGCAACTGTGGAGGAGAAAGAGAAAGGGAAATTTTAAAAAGGTAACAGCACAAAACTACTGAAGTGTCCTTTAGTTATTCTATTTAGGACCTACAGAGCTGAAGTTTACTTTAGGACAATGCTGATCCTTTTTCCCCCATCTCCTCCGAGACACCGCCTCCCTTCCCCTGGGCTCCAAGTTGGTTAGAAAAATTAGAAAAATTGAGGGGCTACCTCCTGCTTGCTCATTTCACCTGCACCCCTAACCACCCCACGACTTCTCCCCAAGCTCGCCGGTAACTCCGCAACCCTCCGCCTGTGCCACGTGCGCCTGGCGGGGAGACTCCTCACGCCCAAGAGCCATCTGCCGAAGGCTGTACCGGCGGTACAGCCAGACGCCCGTTATCCCACCACTGGGATGCAGTGAGACCACAGCACACCTGGACCTCTGCTCTACGCTGTTCGCAACGCTCTCTGCTCAACAAACGTCATCTTCTGTTAATGCAAGAATTTTAAGAGGCCGAGGATTTTTTTTGCATCATCTCCTTTTAAACAGTTTTAATGCAGAGTAAGTGTATGTAGAAAGGCAAATAAGATGCACACAGGGTAGAATTGTCAGAGACAGAAATCCCTAAAGAATAATCCAGGAATCTATCATGCTTTAAAAAGTGGTTACCTCATTCACAATAAACAGGAAAGCAGTTGTTTCATTTTAACTACAGCTATTTTTGTGTAATAGCCAGTTAAGATAATCACATAGGTATAATGTTGGTGGATTAAAACTACCTGCTCACTTCAAATTACAGCACTGCTAAGACTGTGCTAAACCCTTCTCTTCCATTTCTGCGAGTCAGGGATTATTTCAACTACTGTCGAAATGAAAAAGAAAAACAAGAGAGCAAAACTTCAGTGCACGCCGGGAAGAATTTCTCCTTGCAAGAGTTAAAACCCCATTTCCTTCAGCCCCCTTCGGCAGCTCGCTGCAACGGGACCCTGCGAGGACAGCACAGGGAAGAGAGCAGAGACAAACCACAAAAACAGTTCTCATCACGGCTCAATACCGCAAAACCTTGAATACATAGTTTAAATGTCTCCAGAGGAAATAAAGTGTCCTTCAACAGTTAAACTAAGTTTAAGTGTGTTTGCATCTGAAAATAAGCAGCCCCTCTATGGGATGGGTCATAAAAACTGGGTGATGAGCAGTGAATGCTCCTGAAAGACAGGTTATCTACACAGTACCGAAGTCAATTAAGGACCCCACCACATATGATGCTGGAGAGACATCGTCTCCTACGCTCTCTATGAAGAGCCCTTGCTATCCTAAGAGAGCAAAGGAATCCCAGCTGCCGTCAGGCCAGGGAAGCATGAAGAGATGCTGTCTGTCACCCCACGTCCACGTTACCGAGGCTGAAATGTCTCTTACCAGAATGAGACACTACTATGTGGCTGCGATATCAAAGCCTGCAGAGCAAAGCTGCTGCTTATCAGGAGCTCCTGGCTAGTCTGCAAGGACGGGAGAGGACCAGGACAAAACACAAGCATTTACATTTAGCATTCTGTATCCCATGTCCATCCTTAGACAGATAAGGATAGATAAGAAACATTTTCTTTCTCCAGACCCTCTTATTTTTCTGGCAAAAAGTTGACAATAGCTGACAAAAAAACCTTTATATCTCTCCTCAATGTTATTCCAGTGTTCAATTTTCAATGGCAGAATAGTGTAATGTCTAAACATTCTTCACAGTTCTTAATCTACATTTACACTGTAGCTCTACAGTTAACTACAAACCATATTTATGTCAAAGTGTGCATGGGGGAAAGGGATATGACTGAGAAGACTGAGTGTCAATAAAGTGAAATAGTCATTTCAGATAAGCCGTAACATTTTGCAAAAACATTATTTAATTAAAATATTCCCTTTCCTTCCTTGATTTTTTTTTTTCTGCCACAGATGCACTCAGCTGTTTTCTAAACAGCAGCCGACCCCGAGCATTAGGTCTCAGGGTTGACCACCGGCGCCTGGTATTGCAGAAGGTATTTCAACTTCACACAGGCTTTAAGGAGACCAAAACCAAATTCACGAGGTTACACCTTGCGCCCTTATACAATCTGACTTTATATGACCAAAGAACTGCCTACTTAAACTCGTAACTTGGAATGACATTCGCACTTAAGAAGCTGAGACTTCAGTCATTGAAAATAGGATATTTAAAAGAACTTCTGACGGTAAGATGACATTGCCAACTATGTTAAGGCATGAGCCTTCTTCAGATTAAAAAAATATAGTAAAGCATATATTTGCATGGAAACAAAGTCAGATCATAATTAAAAGTAGGAAATGACAATTGCATGGCACACATGCAATGTCTCTAGCTGGCATTCTGTAACCCATGCAGAAACTAACAATAATAAACTTCTGAATCCTTTCAAGTGACCACAAACATTTATTGCTTTTTGTTTCCATGGGATTGCTTCCATGAGATTGCTTCCATTTGCTTTTCAAAGAAGTGCTGACCATTTAGCAGATTTCAGAACAGCAAACCCAAGTGTTTACAAAACACCAAGTTTCCTGGCAAAGCCCAGTGGTTCCCAGTCCAAGCCTCAGCTGAGCACACGCAAGCTGGGAGTCGATGATGCTCCAGCCTCAAACAATGGTGAAGGAGGCAGCCCAGACAAGATGGACCGTGTGCATTAAACAGCATAGTACGAAACAGTAAAAACATATGTGGTAAAACACTTAAACATGGAATTGTTTCCTTATTAAGGCTTAGCAGTCAGAGCATGAAAATTTCAGACAGACAGAACAGGACAATGCAGGAAATTTGGGTCAGTGGGCATCTTTTCTTCCATTCTACTTCGGCTAACATCTGTTTGCATGTACAGTGAATGAATGCTAATTTATCCCACAGGGCACTCTCCTTCTCCCCAAACATTAATTATGAAAGCGGGTTAAAGGCACTTCCCGCAGTCCCCGAGCACAGCGTCGCCCGCACACAGCCCTGCCTGCCCGTTACCCAGCACCACCGCACAAACGCCAACCGGCCATTTCTCTCCCTTGCTTCCCCCTTCGCACAAGACAGCATCCGAATATATTGCTCTTCACTAGATGAGGAGAGCAGCGGAGACACTAACGAGACAGAGATCCCAACAGTCTCAAATAACTTCTCCCTGGAGATACAATCCTTCCTACACAGACAGCAGCGATGATAAACGCAGAGATAAATTATTTTTTTCAAGTTGGAGAAAAGGATGGCGGAAGAAACAGACTCTACAAATGCCTCTAATGCCAAATCCACTCTAACAAGCCATCCATCCCAATACTAAGCCTTTAAACACAACTTGGCTTCACAAGGCAGTATTTAAAAATGCCTTTAGCATGTTTACCATTTATTAGAAGTGCTTCAAGAATCCCCTAAAAGCTTTATGCTCCCCCGAAGAAATATTAATCTTTCTCTAGCTGTGTGGATAGATGGAGCAGAAGGGACACGAGAAACTTAGGACATGTAAAAAACCTAATGCGTAAAAGGGCCCAAATCTCTCACTTTCCACCTCATGGTTTAGTCACTAAAGAGAAACATCACTACATGAATTTCTACAATCAAAATTTTGGACCACATCAAAAGGACTTTCCCTTTTCTGTAATAAGGCTGATAAAGACTAGTCAGACTAGGCAATGAAACAAACATCAGCAGTTTGAAACGCTTTGTCAGGTATTTACAGTGTCAGTTTTCTATTCCTCGCTTTGGAAGTAAACTAGAGCTCAAAAGAAAATGTTGACTTCATTTAAGACCATGCACATCAGAGGCACAACCAGCTTGCAAGATCTGGAAGAGAAAGTAACATCCACATTAATTTTTCATCTTACATCACTTCAACATAAGTAAGAAATTATTAATATCCTGCTTGAAAATATGAATAGTTTTATAAATGCCAAGAAGGCATGTTCTCTCTGAAGCAATACTGAAAGTTGCCCCTCTCAATAGACGGCAATGGTTGGTATTTTTGGCAAGAGATTTATTTAGAAGGAAATATGAAGACCATTAACAATCTACTTTTCAAAAAGGAAAAGATCTGCACATTTGTGACACTCTAAAAATAATTTCGTTTGTTCCTGCTCCAATAGCTCACTGATATTCACGTGGTGTTGTGCATCCCAAAGAGGGGTAAGAAGTTGCTGACAAGCTGCAGGACTTTTCTGAGGGAGAAGAGCCACACAGATCACTACGTGGCCTTACAAAGGCCTTTCCTGGGCTGCTCAGAGGGGTTACCGCAGGGTGTTACAGGTGCTCCTTGTCCTCCTGGATACTGGACCCGTTCTAGCCAGAGAGTTGCCTTAAAGACGCTTCCTGCGCTGTTCCCCCCCAGTCTGAACGGCAGTACTACTTGCATGGTACACAGAGCACAAGTGCCAAATACCATTTTTAGGACTTGCTAAGGTCCATTCAGGTTAACGGCAGCAGAAGCAATAGCTAAGGTAAGAAGTCCTGATAATTACTCACTGCATAACCAACTTCCTAAGGCTCAGCATGCTTAAAAGATGAAACCCAAACCTATGTAGTTAGGCACTCCGGGATACAGCGCGAAGCCGGGGCAGAAAGGGCATCGCAATGACGTTCAGCGGGCTGGAGAAGCAGGCAAGCAGAGAGGCAAATCTTGTCTGAACTCAGCATCCACCCGTCCGGCACGGCTGCCATTCAGGTGTCCCTACACATGCCAAATCCAAGCACTGCTCAAGCCCCCTTCCCTAGTCCAGTATCCCTTATTAGACTGTTTAATACCTCAAAGTGACCTAAAACCAGTGGCAGACAAGCGGTAGGCTGTTTCTGTCCCATCAGTAGGATTTAGCAGTATATATGAGGTGTTTTCCCTTCACAGGTAGAGGAGTACCCTGGGGTCCTCGAGGTAGCTACTACCGCCTGCCCCACTAACCTTAGCTCCTGGCAAACTACAAAGACATTTTTCAGAAAGAAAGATGTGTTTGTCCAGCCCTTGCAGGCTATTTTATGACCTGAATTATGAA